GGGGAATTCTGGGAGTTGAAGTCCACTCATCTTAAAGTGGCCAAGTTTGGACAACACTGTTCTACTCAATCAGAGATGCTTGTGGTAGGTTACTTGTGTCAAAACGCTCCATCATGTAAACAGCAAGGCCTCAAAAAGGTGAGAGACACCCACTATTTACACTGATTAAATTATGGGTTTAATTTCCCATCGCTGGGGTCAGATCTTTCAAAAGACAGACATGATTTCATCTTTGACCATCAATATAGAAATAAGTTACCCTACAGAGGAGGAGAAGGAAGAGATGGAGGAGGAGAAGGAACAACAACCCTCGTAGCTTAACTTAAAACTGCACTTAGAAAGGCATGGAGCTGTTGGTACCTATTACAAAAACCTGTCAAAATCAAGGGCTGCTACAGAGAATGAGGTATACTGAAGACTTTCTCAGCGATGCAGCCTTCAAAGAAATGGCTTTCCTTTCTTTGTTTCCTTTTCCTTTGCAAGTTCTAGTGTTGCACACCACAGTGTTTCGCTTGTGTCGGTAGGCATGTATGCATATGTGCGTGCTTGTGTGTAAACACACATACATAGACATTCGGTGTACTGCATCATACAGATAAATACACACATACACACACGCGTGCACACACACACACACACACACACACACAGATATAAATATATATGGAAGAATTCTCAATCCCACCCCACCAATGTTCCTGGTGTTTCCTAAAGTCACAGGGAGGTGGTGACAACTACAGTGGTGGCGAGCGGATGGGTCCTCGTAACAGGTTTCCAAAAATGTCTTTTGATCTACAGGCTTCGGGGTGCCGCTAACGTGAGACTGCTCTCTTGTGTGCGTGGGTGTGGGGGTGAAGGGTTGATGGCAAATGCTTCTTGCCTATCATAGAAGGAAGATGCTAAATCTGAAAGAGGGTGAGGCCAGCCCCACCCTTGGCAAACGCCCGGTCAACCAAAGTGCATAAATACTTTTGAGACTTTCAATATTGTCAGATATTTAAAAGGGTACAGTACGGTGATGCAGAGGGAGTTGGCAGGAATGGGGGGAAAGCGAATAATGCTGTTGAGTGTAGAAAATAATTCTTCTTCCACACGAGGTCCTATCACAGTGCACACCTGACCACATCCAGATGCTGAAGAGATGAGTCGTGGTCGTCTGTATTTGGTTATGGGAAAGACTCTCCATAAAAAGGAATAATAATAACAATAATAACAATAATAATAATAAAATTTAAAAAAAAAATCCAAAGTGCATAGTGAGAACAGAGAAACCTCCTCGTTCTGGTAAGACTGCGACGGCCCGACACTACCATCTTCCCGAGAATGCGTGAGACGTCCTATTCTCCTTCATGACCATACGAAAAAGTATTGAGACATTCGTCAGCCAGGTAAACACACTTTGCCAGCAAACAGAAGTCCCACTATCGTAAAGAAAATAGATAAAACAAACAGTACGTAAGATGAGCCGACCACTGTGTTGTTCGGAAGTTTATAAGGCTGGCCTCCCACTTCGTTGATGTAAAATCCTATGGGGAATATTAAGGCTGCCATACAGAAAAGGATCACTGAAGGAAGAAAAAGAGAGAGAGAGAGAGAGAGAGAGAAAAAAACCTAGGTTAGTGGAAAAAGTTGTACTGATGGCTAAAAGCACCGGAAAAGCCCCCAAGAGTTGGGGCCTCACAAGATTCTTCCTGCTTCATCTCAGGGGGTGGGTGGGATGATGTGCTTAGAACATGGCAGCCCAAGCATCTGGAGGCAGAGGATGGCTCCTGGACTTCCAGGGCTCTTTCGTTGTGCAACTGCCTTGTTTCCGGTTGTTCTATTTGTTTTTAAACATTGTTTTCCTGTAAAAGCCTTTGGAGGTGCCACTGAAATGCCGGGAGACCAAGGTGAACAAAAGGAGGGAATATGGCACACGAACCACAGGTTGAATGACCCGCCAAACAAAAGCTAACATGCTGCATAAAACGGGTTTGTGGTCCCATCCGCACATCAGGAGGAGTCCGGGAGCATCTTTTCCAATGAATGCGTTTTATTAAAAGGCAGAAACAGCTCACGAAAGCTTAGGCTTAGGAATGGAGCTTGTTAGTTGGAAAAGGGACTACCAGATGCCTTCCTGACGTTTTGCCATGACAGACTAACGCAGCTCTCCTCCAACAACACCCACAAGGCAGGAAGCTGATAGCTTTGCAGGCCAGAGACGAACGATGGAACACCTACCTAAAAAAGTATATTATCCAACTCTAAATCCAACCAAATGAACTTCAGCTTATTGGAATGTCTGTTAAAGAGCCGCTAGAGGGCGTTTAGAGCTTGCTGTTAGCTCAACCCCAAAGATGTCAAGACTCTAGCTGGGGATTATGGGAGTTGGGAGTCCAACATTTCAAGGGGAACATGGGCCTGGGAAAAGCAGCAGTCAAACACTGCAAATGAAGCAGTAAGCACAACCTTTCACACAGGTCATTCTGAGGTTCGATGGACAAATTCAAACTATACTGAGCTTGAATTGTAAAGCTAATCGCAGATCACAGGAAGTTCTATCTGTTCCTGAACCTGGCAGGATGGTAAGCTTAATACTTTTAGTCTTGGGTTTATATTTAGTACAGCTTTGTCTTGGCCATCAAAGCCAAGCTTGGACCTTCGCTTGAAAACGGACCAGGCTATTTTAGACTCTAGGTGGGACATGTTTTTTTTCAATATTCCTCTTAAAAGAAAGAAAAAAACCTAGTTCTCTGCAAAGAAATTCCAAAAAATGAAGAGGACAGCAACTGATTTTTGTTTTTCTTCATTAAAACCCCAAAAGCAGCACTAATGAATCCGGGAGGTCCAGTACTCTATTTCTAATATAATATGCTTTCTTTTGGAGTTAGCTTGGGATATGAATCTATGGTTTGTAAATGGGTTTGCAACAGTACGCTTCACGGTTTTAAGGCTCTTTCTTGTTTTTCTGCAAAAGACCAACACAGCTATCACTTTGGAAATTAATATTCCCGCCTTGTTTTCTTTTTCTTTTTGGGTTTTGGTGGAAAATGTTGGTGACATGATCTGGGGAGAAGGGCCTCCAGAAATTGCACAAGCAGCTCTGTGGATCTGTACACATCAAGGAACTTCCAAGCCCTGTTTGAATTTGGGATGGTGGGAACTAAACCAGGGAACATATCTAGATTCAAAGCTTGGATGTTCTACCACCTGGATGTTTCAGAAAAGCCAACCAACAGCAAGAGCCTTCCCCTCTCCGACCTCCTTCTAGCAACTGTTATTCAGTAGCCCTTTTGGGGAGCGGAAAAGGCCCTTTAAGGGAAGGGAGATGGTGGGGGAAGAATAGGCTTTCAGGGGAGGGAACTGGAATACTAATAGGGAAGGAACTGAAGGGGGCAAAACAACACCAGCTTGAGAATCCTGGTCACACTCATCCAATCTTGTCTCGATAGGTTCACCAACCACTTTTTCAAGAAAAAAAGAAAATTTTCCAGAACCAGTGCTTGCACCATGCTTCCCGCCTGCCGCAAGCCTGCAATGTTGAGCATTCGGCCTGCAGGGGAGACAATAAAGTGCCTGTTGAGTTTGCCATTTGTCTGCTGCTGGAGGAGAAGCCTGTGTCTCTCCTCGTTCTGGACAAAGAGAAGGAGCTGTGGGTTTCTGAATGGGCAGGAGAGATCTCTGTGTAATTTCAGAAGGCTAGGGAGATCTTTGGATGGAGGTGGGCCTTCTGGGCTGATTTTCCCAAAGCCACCCGACCTGTTTTGTCTGCTGAGTGGAAAAGACAGACTTACTTCCAGTGAATGCTATCCAGCGTGCGTATTTTGTCGCTTCCCTTCGCCAGTGAGAAGCCACTAGCAAACCACAAGTGACAGTCAGTGAAATGATTCCCATGATGATGAAAAATAAAGTCGTGATCCACTCAGGGGGCAGCCGTGGAGGAATGCAGGTCCTGTCACGTCCATGAATGGTTTGACACTGTCGCACAAGGCCAACTGTGAGAGCACCTGAAATGACACACACACAGACGACGTGACAATTAACGTACATTCTGGAAACAAATAATCTTCAAATACATGCCTGGATTGGTCTGGCTTTCTCCTGCTTTTGACCATGGCTTCTTTGGGTGAACTCAGGGCAGGCTCGTGCTTAAGACGGCTGAATTCCATCTTACCCCACCCTTTTTTGGAACTGGTCATTTTGAGAACATGCCCAGAAACCCATTTAGACAGGTTGACCCTAATTAGTCCTACCTCCTTGTATGTGTATTTCATATAATACCTGGAGCCTTAAAAAAAAAAAAAGTAATTGGCTTAAGCAAACAAACACCCAAACGCTGAGCCAGATGGCTGACCAGGTCACTTAAACTGAAACAACCGTGGCCTCTTTTTATCTTAAGAACAGAGGGCTTCTTAGCTTAAGCCTCTGAAGCAGAGAACTGGTCTCCTCTTAAGAAGTAGTAAGGTGAACCTATGGTATTTGCAGATGACATCAATATTTAAAGAGCCTGGAAAGAAAGAGAAAGACTTCTTGGAATTACTTTGGAGTGGAAACAGAGTTGAGCTTTATGCTCTGAGGTTTTCCAGAAAGGAAACTATTTCACTCCCCAGAGCAAAGGCCCTGATACAACCACTGGTTGGTATTTGTTTGGCAAGAACCAAGGTCAGGAGTGCCAATAACTCCTCGAGGCTTTGTTCCCCAAGTTTAAGGAACGGAGAACTTTCTGACTCACCTCCATGGCCAGCCAGCTGAGATTGGCTACTTCTACTGGGCTGGTGCTAGGAGCATCTGCTTAGCATCAGGATCCAAAGAAGAAGAAAGCCAAATGGAAGAACAGTCCTGGGAAAGCCAATGAAAGGTCCACCTAGTTCAGTCTGGAGACCTACAAGCTGAGCTCATCTCTTGATGGTTGCATCCATATTATTCCCCTGGCATTGATACCAAATGATAATATCAAAGTGCTTTCAGAATTTCTTTCCCCATATCCCAGTCTAGTCTACAGCTAGTGGTCTCTTATCCAAGTACTAACCACAGCCAACCCTGCTTAGATTTTTTGCCAGGTCAGCTAGGTGTTGCCACCTGCCCCAACTAATGACAAAGAGAATGAGCGGGGACCCAGGAGGTTGCCAAATCAAATTTCATCTTGACTGCAAACTGGCTGAGCAGATTTAAACAAGTGCTACCTCTGTGTCTCAGCACCCCCACCCCATTCACAAAAGGAGGAGAGTAAGAATGACCTATTTTACAGAACTACTATAGCGATGTTAAAAAGGCTACATACCTGCTGAGTATTAGTAACATTATTTTGGAAGTCCTGATTGCCTTCATGGACAATTGTTCACAAATTCAGAGTTCAAATACTACAGTGAGCCATGGTTTACCTAGCCATGGTCTATCAAATTTGTAACTGGCTGGGTTTATGCAACCTGTGACACCATATACAATGGCTTGCAAGCTGCAAAGCCTGAGCTCGCACAGAAAACTAAACCCATGTTAAATAAACTGCATTAAGATTTGCTGTCATATAGGAACCTAGCCACAGTGAATTACATCTGATTCCTTGTAAAACGTTAAATCAGTGATGGGCCTCACCTTTTATGGCAGTCAGTTTCCAAAGCAATCTTCTGTTTGTCCTTCATCAGCCCATTTTTTCCTGCATGTCAAACTTTTGCAACTCCCAGACTTCCACTCCCCAAATTCTTAACCAGAATGGCCACTACTGTGATACTGGGGGTTGATTCACATATTTGGAGGGTGTTATCAGGTCAGGTCACAAAGCAGACAGCACAAGAATTATAGGAATTCTATTTTATTGCTTTTTAAAATTTGTTTTATTGTATTATTATAAGACATAACACATTACAGATAGTCCTTGTTTAGCAACTGCCTCATTTAGTGACCATCCGTAGTCATAACAGTGCTGAAAAAGTAACTTTAGGACCAATCCTCACATTCATGACCTTTGCAGGTCTGTAAAGCAAAGGAGAGCTGAAGATTGTAAGCACAGTTACAGTTCACTCAGCAACTGCTTTGCTTAACAACCAAGTTGCCAGCCCCAATTGTGGTTGCTAAGCGCGGACAACCTGTATATTACTTCAATACAGTGGTATTTGTACAGTATTTAACACTCTAATGTTTAGATAACTTAAGGAATTCTACTTTATTGTTATAGACCATAATAACAAGGTGGAAAGCTCTCTGTCTGCTCTTACACCAAACAGACTCAATATGGGATTATTTTGAGTTTCCTTCTCATCCCTTCTTCTTTCCCAGGACTCCACTGCCCCTTGGTTTGCTTCTTCAAAGTTATGTCCACATTCCTCTAGATCAGTGTTTCTTAAACATTTTGCTCTCTGGACCCTTTCCCACTTTTAAAAATTATGGAGGGCCCCAAAATAGCTTTTGTTTGTATGGATTATATTTATCAATATTTACCTTTGTAAAGATTACAATTGGCACATTTGCTGCCTCTACAGCTTCTCATGATTGATGGGATTTTAATATTGTATTATTTTTCAACAGAGGCTGCTAAAAAATTTGGACCCCTGAGAGGGTCTTGGGGGACCCTCAAGGATCTTAGGACCACAGTTTAAAAGACACTGCTCTACAGGGACCTAGCTTGAAAAGTGCTGTGTTCCATTACAGAAAAGAAGAAGAGACTCTCTCTAACCAATATTTAGATTTAAGAACAAATAGAGTTTACTTTTTGCTCAATCACATAACTCTTAAAAAAAAAAAAAAAAGCAAAGCAGGAGGAGACACTGCCCTGATGAGGAAATAATTCTGAAACATACTGGGCAGCAAGCTCTGAGTATTTTTTTTTAACTGTTGTATTCTGCTTCTTTTAGCATTCAACCCATCTTTTTTCCCTGCTTCTCCTTTTTTTGGTGTAATATAAGGTTCTAATAACAACTCACTGTGTTCTCCTTAATTGGCTTTTCATCCTAAATCAGGAACAGCTAAGCTTTTTTGCAGCTGATAAATATATATACTCAGAAAAAAACAACCTACTACCTTTTTCTTGCTGGAAAGCTTCTCCAACTATTTAGGTATTACAGTAATCTTTACTGTATTTTTGCCAACTCTAGGCTATTCTTTTGGAATCCAGATCTTCCATTTGTATAAGCCTAGGAATCTTATCAAAGATGCACCCAAAGTGTATGCTGTACAACCAAGTCCTTTCCACATGTATTAATTGCATTGGGAAAAAAATACAGGAGAGCTTGAAACAAATCAAGCCATTAACAAGTTTCAGCAGGATGCTAATTTGGGGCAATCAGCAATTCCTGGACCCAAAACCAAGAGGGATGGTTGAGTGAGAACTACCATGCAAAGAATCAAGTAGTGCCTCTTGCAGGAAACCGTATTGGAAACAAATGCCTGAAGGGTGCCATGCACACAGGAAAAGCAAAATACACTGTTAGTTCCTATATGTGTAATGCAAATATCACTGGATAATTTTCAAGGCTTAGGTGAAGGTACTGATGAAACAGCTGCTGGGAAGGGAAGGGAAGGGAAGGGAAAAGTTTAAATGACAATAAAACATTTTTCTGTCCCTCACAGAGGTCTGTTCAGCACATTTTCCTAGATCTCAGCATGACAAACTAACCCTGGCCACTTTTGCAAGAGGTAGAGCACCGACAATCCAAACCTCTGTTTCGAGACGGCTGTCAAAAGCCAACACTGTTCCAGCTTCATGGAACGTACTTCATGGAATGAAGTACACACAAGAGCCTTCTCTCTTTCCGAGAAAAAGCTGTTTCCTTTGAGCCCCCGTGTGAATTCCGAATGGCAAAAATGTGTTCGTCGTTTTCCATACGGCAAAGAACGAAGACCCTGACGAAATCTTTTTTCTAGTAGGAGTATCAAAGCGTGTTAGCAGAGTGTTTCCTTCCACTCAGCTAAATGTGCAGAGAGCTATTGTGATCCGGTCCCTATGGGCCTCAGCTGGCCAAGAGAAATGTTATTACAGGTGAGAATTTGTTACGCTATTAGTAGTTGTGCTATTCATCTGTGCTGTTGCTTGATCAATGGCAGTTATATGTGAATACGTAGGGGAAGATCTGTGTTAGTGTCTACATTAGCCAAAAAGTAGGAGTCTAGACCTGTGTTTCTCAACCTTGGCAACTTTAAGATGTGTGGACTTCAACTCCCAGAATTCCCCAGCCAGCCATTTATAGCCAATTCCTATAATCCCCAAACATGCTGTTTATGGAAATGAGAGAGAACTCAGACACGTAGGTCTTCCCCAGTTGCTATGAGAGGCAGAAAAAGAACTAGGCATGGATTTATTTACACCTCTGATTCACCCACATTTTCAGTAATTATCTGTTACTAACATGCTTTTATCTTACATATGACCTCCTGGAAGCCAAGCAGAAGTATGGGAATCTCTGTCAGCAATTAAAACATTTTTTTGATGGGGAAAATATGCTCTCCACTCAAAAGAGACATGCCTGAAAACGTGGGCTTCTCTCTCAGCCTCAAGCAAAGTGGGATTAGATGTGTAAGGATGCTAACAATGCTCACTGGTATCATACCCATATCTGGACAGTGGAGAGAGAGAAGCAGGGGCAGATGCTTCCAACTACATTTTTGTACTAGTTTCATTGAAGGATAAATTTACAAGAACTCAAAAGAAGCAGTGAGTAACAGATCGTCCTGCCAAAACAGAGTCTATTAGGCCATGTCGAATCAGAAACAACAAGCTTTGTTCTAACAAGAGCCTCTTTTTCCCAGTCTTAAGCCACAATCAAGCACATTCGTTGAAAACAGAGCTTCAGGGATGGTGACTTTCATTCCCAGGAGCTCTGGCAGGCTGCTGAGTTAACAGATGAAGCAGAGGGCAAGTTCAGACCTGCGATCTCTCCTGAATCGTACCTTCACAACACTGTTTTTTGCTAAACAGGCGACCAACCATGTCATCCTTTTTTCTTCAGGGTGACAGGATCAAAATCTGAATTTCTAAACTAGGGGTTCAGTTTCTAAAACACTGGGATATTTTTTCCACCTTTTTTGCTTGCAGCGCTAATCAAGTTACCTCTATGTTTGGAAGCATATTTGAACCGTAATATAGCTAAGCCAAGATCTTTTGGCCAGGACTGCAGTTTTGACCTCCAAGGGCCACCAAGGTGATGTTACTGGAGTGAATTTTTTATTCCTTTTTTGAGCTGTGGAAAGTGGCGGTGGAGCCACTGTAAAAGAAGAAAATAAAACTATGCAATTTTATTATAACCCAGCAGGGCAATCCCCGGGGCTCTGAGGATCACTAAAATGAGGCTAAAGGACTACACACAGCTCATAGTCTACCCTCTCTTTAAAGGCCTTTAGCATAGCACTCTGCCAATTTCTTTTTTTTTAAATTAATTTATATTTATTGAGAATTTTACATAAAGTAAAAGACGAATCTAAAGAGAAAGAAAGAAAAGAAAGAAAAAAGTGCAAAAAAGAAGAAAGAAAAGAAACTAGTTTCTTTTACTCTGCCAATTTCTGAAGCAAGATTGTCCCCATAGATAAAATGTTTCCCCAGTGCTCCAGAAATGGATACTAGAAGGCGTATATAACGAATCCTTGTTTTAATAGATGGGTTTGGTGTGGGACGGGAAGATGATCTGCTACTCTCCAAAGTCCGATAACTCAAGGAGGACACCATTGTGGTGAAGCTAAAGATCTCATTTACATGATGACATTATTATGCAAACTGACACACGGCAGGTAATTTGCATAATTTGCATAATGACTTAAACCGTAATGGAATTGAGTCTGCTGCAAGGAAAGTCTGTTGCATCATGATCTGGAAAACTCAGGTTTAACTGTAATATGCCCATTTACTGTTGTTATTTTTTTAACGCAACCCTCTGATGATCCTACAAAACACAGTTTCTCTGCTGAACTGTTTCAGACCATACACTCCTTGGAATTAGGATCTCATCCCAAGAATGCTTATTTATCAACTCAGTAAGATGCTGGGGCAGGGAGACAGACCATTGTTCG